TTGCGTCCTATTTGATGTCATATTTTCATTTAATTCTAATAAATTAAAATATTTTTTTTATACAATAAGCCCAAGTCGTCCTAGGTCTACCGCTGCCTTTCTTAACATAAGTCGAATCTAAAACATTTATTCTTCTAATTGTGTCATCAGAAGCGTTTAATGTGATCAAACCATTTAAGACGACTCTCTAATTTTTTCGTCACTAAAGCCACACCAACCCTATCATGTATATATTCATTTCACATTTTGTCTCTAAATGTAAATCCACTCATCCACCTAGTCATTCTCATCTTGTCAACATTTAACTTAGTATTATGCTTCTCTTTTAAAGGCCAACATTCAGTGTCATAGAGCATTGCATGTCTCACAACGATCTTATAAAATTTTCCTTTCAGTTTAAGCTGTACTTTTATATCACACAATAAGCCCAAAGCATTCCTCCACTTCAACCAACCAACCTGAATTCTACTATTAACATCCCCATCTATATCACCATCGCTTTGAACAATTGACTCGAGATATCTAAATCGTTCACACCTTTTAATAATTTGTTCACCCAAAGTTACACTTCTGTCACTAGAGCTACTACTAAAGTTACATTCCATGTTTTTAGTTTTATTTCTACTCAAACGAAGGCCTTTATACTCCAATGTAGACCTGTAATTCAAGTTTTTTCTGTGTTTTTTCTCTCATTTTATCCACGAGAAGGATATCATAAGCAAAAAGCATACACCAAGGTACATCCTCTTGTAAATGTCCAGGAAGACCATCCATAACTAAAGCATATAGATATGGGCTTAAATCCGATTCCTAATGTAATCTAAAAGAATTACGAAAATATTTGGTCAATTCCCATTTAGTTCGAACACAAGTAACCACTCTAGCATACATATTTTTAATGACTTGAATATAAGTCATATCAACATCTTTTTTCTCAAGAACTCTCCAAAGGATATCTCTTGGAACTTTATCATAGGCTTTTTCTAAATAAATAAAAATCAAATGTCGATCCTTTTTATTATCTCTGAACCTCTCCATCAAACCTCTCAATAAATGTATAACTTCCATAGTAGACCCCTTCCATAGTAGACCCGTAGACCCGCCCGACATGAATCCAAATTGATTATGAGAAATCTTTGTAATACGTCTTAAACTATGTTCAATTACCCTCTCCCGTAATTTTAAAGTTTGACGCATCAACTTAATTCCTCAATAATTTCCATACTCTTGTGTGCATCCCTTTTATTCTTAAAAATAGGGACCAAAATACTCTTCCTCCACTCCTCAGACATTTTTTTAGTTTTAAAATAATATTGCAAGTTTAGTAAGCCAAGAAACTCCCAAATTTCTTAAATATTTCCACACTTCAATTGAGATATTATCAGGTCCTGCAGACTTTCCACCCTTAGTTTCCTTTAAAAAATCCTCAATGTCTTTTTTTCTAATGCAATGGTAAAAATGAGACATTTTATTATTATTAACGATACTAAGATCACTAAGGTCGATCGCATCATCAGAAATTTCATTAAAAAGTTTATCAAAATAACTCACTCATCTATGTTGAATATCTTTTTATAAGAAAAGAACTTTTTGATTTTCATCTTTAATACAATTTACTTGCGTTAAATGTTTATTTTTATTTTCTCTTGTTTGGCTACTTTATACATATATTTTTCGCTCTCCTTATTATCCAATTTATTGTAAAGATCACTAATAACAAAATTTTTAGAGTCACATATTGTACTTTTAGACTCTCTGCGGGCTATTTGATATTTTTCCACTTCTCTAAACTTTATAATATAATTTTTTATACTTTATCTTTTCTTGCACATTATTATTCCACAACCAACTATTTTTATTTATAGAAATTTTTTCTTTTGATTCTTCAAACGAATCTTTTGCCACCTCTTTAATAGTGTTTGCTACTTTATCCCACATAGCATTTGCTTCTTCATAAACTTCCCAAATTTTAACATACTGAATTTTATTCGTAAAAATAATTTTATTTGTGTCTTTTAGGTACCCCTATCTAATTTTACGATGAGGCCTCCTAGTATTCTTTATTGTACAAATCTTCATCTTAAAATCTAAGATTAATAATCGATTTTGGGCACTTAAATCCTCACTTGGAATGACATTGCAGTCGTTACAATCTTGCTGATCCTCGACGATATCTTTTTCCTCATAAGAAAATAATTAATTTGTATTTTATTAGATCCACACTTATACCATTCTTATAGGTAATAAGATGCTCATCTCTTTTCTTGAATAAAATATTAGTAATAATAAAATTATATGCTAAAGCAAAATCTGACTATTTTTTTCATTAATCACTCCAAAACCATAGCCATAATGAATATTTCTGAAATCTTCTACGACTCTATTGACATGTACATTTAAATCTCCTCCAATAAAAATTCTTTCTTCAAGAGGTATCATTTGTATTAAGTCTTCTAAGTCATTCCATAATTTATCTTTAGAACCTATTTCTAAACCTACTTGGGGAGCATAAACACTTATAATATTAAAAAATTTAGTAACAACAATAATCTTAAGGGCTATAATTTTATCTCCAAAATTATTAATTTTTACAACATTATCTTTTAAACTCTTATCTATAATTATATTTTTGTCAATTTTAGTGCGACTCTTACCAGAATACTAAAGTTTAAAACCTAAGTTATCAATCTCATTAGCATTTTCTCCAACCAATTTATTCCATTTAGTTTCTTGAATAAATAAGATATTTATCTTTCTATAAATCATAATATCAAGTAATTCTATTAATTCACCATTAAGAGTACCTATATTCCAAGATCCTATCATAATATTAGTTTTATAGACTAACTTATGTACCCGCATTTGTCCGTAATGTGGGAACTATTGCTTATTTGACACTACACCTGAGCACCGGTGTAGCTGCTCTTGCACTCATTTCTTTGTATTCAGGTCATACAACGCATCGCTTTCAGGGACGGCTTAGCACTAAACATTTTCACTGTATTCAGGTCAAACATTTTCATTATTAAGAAATAATCGTCTCAACAATGCTATTTGAGGAAAAAAAGTAACCAACATTCACAGAATAACAAAAAAAAAAAGGAAGAATAAGAAGAAGAATCCAACGGGATCAGACTATTGATGACTGAACCATAGAAAGAAATAACCAAGTTACATTCTAAAAGTATCATACATGATCACAAAAAGACAAAAAAAAAAAAAAAAAAAAAAAAAAAAAAAAAAAAAAAAAAAAAAAAAAAAAAAAACTAAGAGACAATCCAATTAAATGCCATCCTCCCCGTCTAAGGATTTCAAGTAACGTCACAAATGCTCAGCAAAATAAGAAATCAACAACTGAGTAGACGCAACATCTCAAAAAATTGAAGTTTCAAGAGAAAACCATCGAACTGCAAATAATCTCCGCTAAAAAAACTCAAATGGAAACTATCCAGATGAATTCATGAGAGTAATAAACTAGATAGAAAGTGAGAGCCAGATATGTTAGGTGTTTAGGCATTTCACAAGTTGAGTGAGGAAAACGAAAGCAACCATAAAGAACAATTTCAACCTATGTTCAGAAGATCACAACCGAAGCCAATATGACCAATCCCCAAATTCATTCTTTATTGGGTATATTGCGAGGAAAGGTCGGAGACGAAAAGGTTTAAAATCAGAAAAATTTTGCCTGAATTGTGAAATGCTGCCCTCCACGGATCCCATTGCATGGCCCCGTGCCGAGATAGGCTGCCTTGATTTTACTCCTGTGCGTTCCGGTAATGCACTGTTAGCTTGTTGCCTCGCCAAATGCCTCCTACATCTCCTAATGTGTTAGTGATACATCATGTGCTCGTATTTTGTGATTGTTTTGAAGATTAAATGGTTTTTTTTTGTTTTTATCATTTTTTGTTGACATTATGATGCTGATTTGGACAAGATAATTTTTAATGATTGATGCTCAAATTGACGTGTTGTTGACAATTAATTGCACTTTATAAAATATCATAATTTTATTCTAGTGAAACTAATGTTTTCAGTTTTGATTATTCCGCTTCTATTGTAATACTAATGATATTATACTTCATTGTGTGATGCTTTTTGATAGAAAATATTGACATTAGGTGCTTTTATTACAAATTGTGTATTCAAATTTATAAAAAATATATATATTTCCATGGAATGTTGTATTTTACTTTTTTTCAATTATGTTGTATCTATGGCTTATGTTTGTGTCTATGCTTCATCGTTTCCCACTTTTCCTTTGTCGACTTTGTTTCTGTTGTCTTCTGCATGGCAAAAACTGGGTAGCTGATATTTGGATACTGGTAAATCAAGCAATCTTTTCTTTTTTTTTTCTTGATTTAGTGACTTTTCTTT